AGCAGAGTCATAATCATCTTCTATCCACCTAAATTTTTCCTTAAAGTATCCATGGCCATGGATTACTAGGCCCTCTGGTGGGCCTGGGGTTAATAGGGCACTAGAGTTGACATGAGGAAGGCTTGGGTTCAAATCCCACCCTGGACACTTAATAACTGAGCCTCAGTTTCCTCATCTGTAAAATATGGGACCTACCTCACAAGTCAGTTGTGAGGCTTAAACGAGATGCTGTAAAGATAAAGCACTGTGTAAATGTAAAAAAAAAAAAAAGAAAACATTTATATAGCACCTACTATGTGCCAGGCACTGGGCTAAACATTTGACAGTAATTATCTCATTTGATCCTCACAACAACCCTGGGAGGTAGGTGCTATCATTATCCTCATTTTACAGATGAGGAAACTGAGGCAAACAGAGGGTTAAGTGGCTTGTCTGGGGTCACACAGCTAGTAAGTGTCTTAGGCTGGATTTGAACTCAGGTCTTCCTTATTGCAGGACTGCCTGGCACTCTATTCACTGTGCCATTTAAAAACTGTCTTTATTCCCTGCTTTGTCCCAGGTATTAGCAGTCGCTCCCTCCTGAAATTATTTTGTAAGATTTTATATTTCCTTACTATGTTTTGTGTCTGTCCCATCCACATCCCCAGTAGATGGTAAGCCCTTGAGGGCAGGGACTTCTAAGTTACTGTCTTTGTATCCCCAGTACCTTGAATTGTACCTTGTAGCCACATAATAAATGGTTGTTCTAATGATGAGTCAAATTGAAGTTTTATGTAAATGTGGGTTTCAATATTAGCATCTATGGATAGGATTAGTTCTAGTACAAACTTCATTCCTACCTAGGCTATGCTCCCCACACGTCAGTTTAGGCCATTCCCTTCTTCCCCTCAGGCAGGGGCACAGTGCCATCCTTAATTTGTCCAGCTAACTGACCATATAAGTAAACAGTAAGCTGATGATAAGAAAACTGAGAATGAATCGATCAATTCATTAAGCACCAATTCTGTACTGGGCACTGGAGATAAAAAGACAGAAATGAAATCAGTCCCTGGCCTGAAAAAGTATACAGTCTAAGTGAGAGAGACTCTGTGTGTGTGTGTGTGTGTGTGTGTGTATATGTGTGTGTGTGTGTGTGTGTATCTCTATATGCATGTAAATCTCTTTCTTTCCAGTACACAGATAGAGAGATCTATATAGACATACATATACATATAGCTCTGCCTACATAGATATAAATACACATGTTTATAGGCACACACATTTATCTGAAAATAAGTGAAATGTGAGCGTGTGTGTATGTGTATGTGTAACCTGAGCCCCCAAACCCATTGGTATGGAATCCTCTGCTCATCGGTGTTGATCAATGCCTCATGCCAGTAATAAGGTTTAGAGGAGAGTTCGTCACAGCAGTAGAGATGAGAGATTCACTTTCTTCAGTCTCTTCAAGCTCTCCAGTCTCTGGGGACTTTGGGCTTCTAGTGTTAAGACAGAAGACATGTGGAATTCCAATCTCTCTTCAGGGCCATGAAGGGAGAAATAATCTGGGAAGATGTCAACATAAGAGGAGCTGGCAGTCTCCATCATGTCCCTCTCCTTAGCTTGGTATACTAGAAGCTTAGGGGAATTTTCCCCTTGCGTGAGAACTGGGACTCTGCCTGCCTATCTGTCTGTCTGTCTGCCTCTATGTCTCTCTGTGTCTGTCGTTCTGTGTCTCTGCCTCTATGTCTGTGTCTGTCTCTCTCTCCACTGAACTGAAATATCTTGCTGTCAATGGAAGGGTTCCTTCATGCTATATTTCCTGGTGTATGTTTTCATATGTATACTCTTGCTGACTTCTGTTTTGCTGTCGATTTGGATAAATGGGTTTCTTTGCCATTGGCTATGTGTGTGTTCATTGTGGAACTAGTATTTGGTGGAAGGAAGTCAAGCTTCAGATATACGGCTTGGGGTCTTCCTTTTCCCATTAATGAACATTGATTAGGAGTTTAGCTTAAACCAAGAACTACATCCTCTAAAACATTAAGAATGTTTAAGGGAACAGATAGACATAATTCTAGCCCAATACCCCTCTCTAAGGAGAACAGCATGGCCAGCCCCTGCACTCCATTTCCTGCTTCCCCTCCTGGCAGGAATTAAAATCTCCCTTGGAGAAAGGTGGGGGGAGGAGATGCTAGAGATACACCTATTCTGGTCTCCGTGTGAACCATATTGAGATAGCCTTCATTAACACGAATACGCAAAAGAGAGACAAGATAATTTGGGGAGAAGATACTAGCAGCTAGAGGGATGGGGGAAGGCTTTATGAAGATGCTGATGCTTGAATTGAATCTTGAAGGACGCCAGAAATGGTGGAAAGGAAGAAATGCATTTTAGGCATGGGGCATTTCTGGTATAAGCCTATGCAAAGACACAAAGAAGAGAGATGGAATATCACTAGCTGTGCAATCCTGGACACATCATGTAACCTCTCAGCCTCACTATCCTCATCTATAGAATGGGAATAATAATGGCACTTACCATCCAAGATAGTTGAGAGGATAAAATGAGAAAATGTTTGTAAAGTGTTTTTCAAACCTTAAAGAACTATATAAATGCTAGTTATTGATATGTTATTATTAATGTATGAAGAACATTATGAAAGGCACTTCATACTATAGAATATGTGAAGGGGAATACTTTGTAATAAGGCTAGAAGGGTAGGATTGGGTCAGGTTGTGAAAGACTTTATGTACAGCAGGGGAGTTTATATTTTATCTTCAAGGTGATAGGAAGCCACTGGAGATGATTGGGGAGGGGAGGCCCATGGTCCGACCTCTGCTTAGCAAATCACATTGGCAGTGGTGGAGGAATTTTGTACTGAATATTGCAGTGAGGAAAAAAAACAAATTGTTCACCATCTTTTATTTAGTTATTCTTCAAACAATTAGGCACCTCCTTTTCCCCCACCCCCACTTTCTCACTTTCTTGAGTTGAACAACCCCAGTTCCTTCCTTAAGGAGGATATAGAAGATATAGTAGGGAAGGGAAGAATGGTGGGGGCATAGCTCAAGCCCAGGAAGGATGGATTAGTTACAGGAAGGATATGACAAAAACCCAGTGGAGGCAGGGGCTGGGGGGGGGGCGGTGGCAGGGGCAGGGAGTAACAGTGAAGGGGTGGTAGGAGGTGAGCTAACCATATCCTTATAAGCCTGAGCAGTCCTCCTGTCCTGGTGGCAAAGGCAGCAACATGACTGAAGCAACTAATTCACTGACTGAACTTGGTCTGAGGAAGCTTCTACTAAGAAGACTCCTCATGCCTTAAAATAGGAACTGAGAACCTCCTTGCTTGGCACACAGTAGGCACTTAATACATGTTTGTTGGCAGACTGGTTGCCTCTTATAAAGAGAAAGAGGAGGCTGAAGTCATTGCTGGTACCTTGGAAACAGACTCCATGAGTAGTTCAATATGGCTGCCACATTTTGTGATACAACAGCAGGACAGAAGAGCGTCTACGAAGCTGATCATGGGCCTGTCTAATGGCCACAAATCAAGGCCATATCCAGGGCCAGCAAACACCATTGAGTTTTCTAACACACTTCAGCCCACAGACAGCCAAACAAGGGCATGTCCAAACACAAGTTCTCCCTCATTAGACTCTTTATTTTTAACCCATCCTAATTTTTGACTGAACCAAAGAAGGTTGAATTCTGGGAAGAGCTGAACTGTTTTCTAACAAAAAAAGGCCTAAGATGCTGTTGGACAGATGTATCCAAGTTGCAGCTTCCTCTCATACTATCCTTTATTGTTTATCACCCCCAAGTTTCCTTGAACTTGGGGATGGATGAGGCTGCTGTCTTTGAAACAGAATCTCAAGATTGAAAGTGACGCGGGGGCAGCTAAGTGACACAGTGGATAGAGCACTGGCCCTGAAGTCAGGAAGACCTGAGTTCAAATCTGGCCTCAGACCAAATACTTGACACTTACTAGCTGTGTGACCCTGGACAAGTCACTTAACCCCAATTGCCTAAAAGCAAAAACAAAAAAAAAACAAATTAAAAAAAAAAAGAAAGTGACTCAAGAGGCCTTCTAAGCCAACCCATACCTGTACAGGAATATCCTCTATAATACTGCCAACAAATAGTAATCTAGACCCTATTAAACACCTGCAAGAATGGGAAAGCCACTACCTCCCAAAGCAGCCCATTGCATTTTGGGAAGCTCTTTCTCTTATGAAGTCAAAATATTCTTCAAAGCAACTTTGACCACTGGCTCTTGGTTTTGAGCTCTGAGATCAAGCAGAGTAATCACAATCCCTCTTCCACATCGACTACCCTACTCCCATGAAGACTACTCCCATGTCTCCCCTCTTTTTTCTAGGCCAACCATCTCTAACTCCTTGGTTCCATCCTCAAGTGTCTTGTTCTCTGGTCCTCTTGTTTCCTTCATCATCTGGAGTCATTCCAGCTTATCAACATCCTTTCTAATGTTGTCCATCCCCAGAAAAAGAACTGATGGTATCAGTATAGATTGAAGCACAATGTTTTTTTGCTTTTTTTTTTTTAGTTGTTTCCCCTTGGGTCTATGTTTTCTTTCACAAAGTGACTATTATGGAAATGTTTTGCGTAACTACACATGTATAACCTGTATGAAATTGCATGCCTTCTCAATGAGGGGGGTTGGAGAGGGAGGAAAGGAGAGAACTTAAAACTCATAGTTTTAAAAATGAATGTTTAAAATTAGTTTTATATGTAACTGGGGAAAATAAAATACTAAAGAAAAAAAGTTAAAAAAAATCAATGTCCTTTTAAAAAGGTGGCACTCTGACCTGCCCTTATTCTGGGCACTAAGTCCTCATCTTCATCAAGCCCAGGACTGTGATATCATACAGCTGATCCAAGTTGAACTTGCAAACTACTGAAACCTCCAGATTTTTTAAAAACAAAGTCCTGCTTTCTAGCCATGCCTCCCCCAACCTTTATGTGTGGGACATTCTGTAGGAATCCCAATATAGCAGGCTTACCTTTCACACAGGCCTGTACCAGTCCATACCACTCCCCACAGCTGTCACAGAGCAAGGTGAAGGCAGTCTCTTTGTGACCCATGACGTAGCCCTGGGCACAGACATACAGCAGCTCATCCCCCATCTCAAATCCAGTGTGGCCATGTAGGATGGTGTGGGGGAAGGAAGGGGGATCCCCGCATGGTTTATCTGAGGAGAGAAGGGAAAGGATTATTTTCTGTAAATTACAAAAAACAAAAACAAAAACAAGCCCAAAAAACCTCATTGCCTGGTTTTAAGTCTTTGGGAAAGAAAAGCTTATTAAAAGTGCCAGTCCATCAGAGCCCTTGCACCAACTTTTTCCTAAAACAGTTGCCGAAGCAATCTCTCTTACTGAAAAATATCATGGACAGAAGAAATAATCTCCACAAGGTATCCATTTTCCTTGATTCAGACATCTGCTCTGCCCACTACTATTTCCTATTCCTCCTTTAATATTGGCTACAGATTTATGAATGACAAGCCCCAGACTGCCATTTTGGGTTCAACAACATGGCTTCCACATGGGCACCTGTACTGTTGGTCTTTAAAGTTTCACTTACACTTCCATTTTGACTAGAGCAAAAAATGACTACAGAATGACTACAATGACTACAAAAAAGGGAAGCTTCAATGCCAGCTTCACTTTGTCTTTGCTTTTTACCCTGTGGCCAGGGTACAGTCTTTATTTCCATTCATGGAGGCCACTATTATTTGGTGAGGACTTCAAGTCAACCTGAATTAAATCCCAGTTAGATCCTTAAAGGCTCAGCATCTCTCTCCATGCCCTCAGGCATCTAATCCTCTTTCAGAATGTGTACCCCCTCTCTCTGTCTACTATCTACCCCTATTAGGATCTCATTTGGATTCAGTCAGTGATGGAGAAGATAGGACTTTTCGACAAAGAGAATACTACAGGCATTCTTAACTTGGAGTCGAGACAGTTTAAAAAATCTATTTTGGTAGCTATTTCAATATAATTGGCTTTCTTTCTAATCTTATGAATTTTCTTTTATTCATCTAAAAACATTCTGAGAAGGGGTCTGTAGGCCTTACCACACTGCCAACAGAGTCTATGACACACAAAGTTTAAGAACCTCTGAAATACAGGACCTCATGAAAGCATGGTGGTGGTCCCATATGCCCCACCTATGGTCCCACTCCCCAGTCATATCCTCTACTGCAGAATACACTCATTCAGCCTCTTCAATTTTGTTACCACATAAGGTGGGGGAAGGCAGTCTATTCTCCCTAGGGTGTGACAAGTATTTTTACGAACTGAGAGAGAAAGATGATTAACCAAACAGCACCATTCTCTCCAAAGGAAAACCCAAGAACAGTGACCAGGCTCGATAGCAGATAGAAAGGAAAATATTCCATCCCACAAGACTCTGGAGATCTTCTCCATCAGAGGATATTTCCATAATGGCATAGTCAGAGAATCTGGTTCAGGAAAACCACCAAAACCACCTGACATTCTCGGACCATTTATTATAGATTTCTGGGTTTCCCACACACATGCAATAAGTAAGTTCCAGTCACTTGGCCTGGGTGTTTTCTGCCTCTCTTGCATAAAATCTTCCTATTTCAACTAAATATGCTGAGTTTAGGAAGCAGCCTTCCCATTTAGGAGCTGCCTGAATTTAGTGCCCTGGGTTTCCCATTCCTTTGCTTCTGAACTCAAATAAGGAAAGAATGAAATATCTCTAGCTCAAAATGTTTTCAGCCTTTACCATCAACTCTCAATGATTCAGTGGCTGATGATTCTAGTAAATAACCCTAGCACTAATTGTGGCCCAGGATGGCTGGAGAACACAAGTGAGATGATATATATTTCTCAAACTTCAAAGGATTTTTAAACAGATTTTTTGTTGGGGGCAGGGAGTGGGGGTGGGGATGACACCTGTAATTATAGACTTACAAGACCAGCATCCTAGATTTAGAGTTGGAAGGACCTTGGAGATCAAGTTCAACTTTCTCATTTTATGAATGAGGAAATAAAGGCCCAGAGTGGTCAAGTGATTTTTCCAGAGTCACACACCTAGTAAGTGACTAAAAAAAGCAGTATTTGAGCTCAGGTGTTCCTGATTCCAGCACTCTAGCCACTAACTATGCGGGCCTACCTGGAAGCTCTCATTAAGCGTTAATTAAATGTTAGTTAATGAAGGGTTAATTAATCTCCAAAGAGGTGATTCCTTTACTTTTGAGAATGGAACCTGCCTTACAACTTATATTTTAGAGAGCATGGGGAATACTAAGAGGTTAAGAGACTTCCCCCCTTCCTCCTCTTCTTCTTCCTCCTCCTCTTGCTCCTCCTCCTCCTTCTGATCCTTTTTGTGGTGAGGCAGTTGGGGTTAAGTGACTTGCCCAGGGTCACACAGCCAGTAACTGTCCAGTGTCTGAGGCCAGATTTGAACTCAGGTCCTCCTGACTCCAAGGCTGGAGCTCTAGCTATTGTGCCACCTAGCTGCCCCTTCTGCTCCTCTTTTTTCACCGCTTTACCTTCCCCTCGTCATGACATTTCAGCACAATGAGCCGTAGGCTTTGCATTATTTGATAAAATAATAATAAAATTAATTTGGAGAAACAAAAGACCTGGGATATCAAGAGAAATAATGAAAAAGTAGTAAGGAAATGAGAATAGCACTTCTAGACCTCAAATTATATTATAAGACAGCAGTCATCAAAACCATTTGTTGGGGCAGCTAGGTGGCACAATGGATGGAGCTCCAGCCTTGGAGTCAGAAAGACCTGAATTCAAATCCAGTCTCAGACACTTGACACTTACTAGCTGTGTGACCCTGGGCAAATAACTTAACCCCAACTGCCTCACCAAAAACAAAAGAAAACAAAAAACATTCGTCATTGGTTAAAAGATAGAGAACTAGTTCAGTGGAACAGACAAGACAAAGGAGAGGCAGAAACAATGGAACTCAATACTGCAATATTCATTAAGCCCCCCAAAATAAATTATTTAGGAAAAAAATCCCTATTTGATAAATTAATTTGACCAAATGACATTCTCCAGTTGATAAGTGGTCAAAGGATATGAATAAATAGTCCTCAAAAGAATTACTATTAATAGCTATATGAAAAAGTGTTCCCAGTCACTAAGAGATGCACAGAGCATCCCAAGGTTTTACCTCTAACCCAAAAAACTGGCAAAGATGATGAAGGAGGGGGAAAGTCAATGTTGGAGGAGTTACAGGAAGATATAGTACATTGTTGGTGGAGTTGTGAATCAGTCCAAACATTTTGGAAAGCAATTTGGCTTTAAGTAAAACAAACAGACAAACAAACAACAAAAACTCTAAAATGCCTGCATCTTTTGATCCAGGGATGCTACTACTAGGTTATAATATACCCTGAGGAAGTCATCAGTAAGAAAAATTCCCCATAAATAATGAAAATATTTATTTTATTGTTCAGTTGTATCTGACTCTTTTGTGACCCAATTTGGGGTTTTCTTGGCAAAGATACTGGAGTGGTTTGCCATTTCCTTCTTCAGCTCATTTTATAGAACCGAAGCAAATGAAGCTAAGTGACTTGCCCAGGGTCACATAGCTAGTAAATATCTGAGGCCAGATTGTAACTCAGAGTGATGAGTCTTCCTGACTTCAGGTCCAGCATTCTATCAACTGTACCACCAAGCTGCATACACACACACACACACACACACACACACACACACAGAGCTCCAGTAGTACTTTTTTATGATAGCAAAGAAATGGAAACAGAATAGATACCTATTGACTAGGAAATAACTAAACAAATTGTTGTATATGAAAGTAATGTGACATTACTGTCCTTTAATAAAAACAAATATGATGAATACAGAGAAGCATAGAAAGACTTCTATGAACTGATGCAGAGTGAAGAAAGGAAAACCAAGAAAACAACATATGCAATGACTACAGAAATGTAAATATAAAGAACAACAGTCACAAAATAATTGGAAGTGAACTCTGAAGAGTTACAAAGAACAAGAACAGCCCCAAAGAAGAGATATGAGAAGACATCTACCCTAACTTCTCTGCAGAGGTTGGAGATCCATGTGTGTGGAACACTGTATTTTCAGACTTTTTCAATGTATTGCTGATTTTTTTCTTCTCCTTTTTCTCTAAAAAATATTCTTTGTTACATGGAATGGCTCTCTGGAAGAGGGGAAGGAGGATACAAGGATAAGTTTTGGTGGCATAAAAATAAAAGTTATCAATAATTTTTTTTAAAAAAAGTTTGATATGGGAGACACAGAGCCTGTGACTATAATGAAATTTCTGATCAAAGTAGCACAGAATATTAGTACTGGAAGGGACTTTAAGGATCATTTAATCCAACTTTCTCATTCTGTAGAGAAAGAAACTGTACCCCAGAGAGAATTGATGTGTCCAAGGTGACAGATGTGCTTATGGAGACAGTGTTACACAGCAATGTAACATGATGGAGACACAGGTAATAGAGGCAGTATTACACAGTGATGTTACAGTGATGGAGACCCCAGTGATGGAGACAGTGTTACACAATGATGTAACAGTGATGGAGACTCAAGTGATGGAGACCATGTTTCATAGTGATGTAACAGTGATGGAGACAGTGTTACACAGTGATGAAACATGACACAGACACCAGTGATGGAGACAGTATTACACAGTGATCTAACAGTGACAGAGACAGTGTTACACAGTGTTGAAACATGACAGACATAGGTGATGGAGACAGTGTTACACAATGATGTAACAGTGATGGAGACTCAGGTGATGGAGACCACGTTTTACAGTGATGTAGCAGTGATGGAGACACAAGTGATGGAGACAGTGATACACAGTGATCTAACAATGATGGAGACAGAACCCCAAAACAAATCTTCAGACTCCAAACTGAATTATCTTTCTCTCTTTCAACTTCCTTTATGATTTCAGCAATCCATGGTCTCCCCATTTCTGTGACTGTGCAAGTAAACCAAAAAAAAAATGAAGAGTACAGCCCCCAGATGTTTAAGAACCAGGCTCTGGCAGCTTTACAGAAAACAATACTCATATGAATCCCCACCTACTTACGTCCCTGGGTCTTGGGTTTCCTAACTCTAAAGACAGACATAGGAAATAATGCTGTGGCACAGTCTAAACTACCAGAATGATAAAAAAAAAAAGTTCAACAGACTAAGACAGTGG